GCGTTCTCAATGGCTTTCCATGGTGAACAGAAACGAAGAAAGTCCTCCGTTCTAAAACTGCGCAGTCATGAAAACCTGGGGTCTAGAGATCACAAAGTTGACCAGGAAAGTCAAACATTTATCTACCACGGGGTCACCACATCGCATTAGACTGGTGGACAATGGTGTTCTGGGCGTACGTTTGATGCGTTTGGGGAAAACTGTCACTTCGCAAGTACTGGGGTTTAAAAATGCAGATATCCGACTTGGGCTGGTAATATCCGGCAAGATTATGATTCTTTGACGTGGACTGGTACAGGTATACATGAAATTCATTGTCTTGGATTCGATAAGGTACAATAACTAAACAACATGCATATAATCCCACATGAACTTTACACCATTATTCTTGAGCGAAACATGAAATTCGCATAAAAGTTCGTTCACGCCTCTAAAAATGTTAGTATGCATATGTTCAGGAACAAGTATCATTGTTATTTGAAACGTCTAATCTAGAGGCCTTGCATGTATCACACGGTTCAAATATGCCCCGTCTGCTACTTTTTCGCCGAATTTCACAGAGGAGCCTGACCGTTTTATCAGAATAATAAGCTGGAAGATGTTCTCATCCGTGAAACAGCCTTTCGAAAGGGTAGTAACAGAAACGAAGACACTGGACTTTGACGCCTCTGCCTGTAATTCCCCTTCGTTGATTGTACCGAATTGATCAGTCCCTATTGGCATACGGGCTTCTGTAAGGATTCCTCAGTACTGAACTGCCTTGACCCTAGACTTCATATTCCATTCGATTCTTGGACCTGTTTGAGTAGCAGCTTGAACCAGTGCCACTTAACTCGTCGTTCCTGTGGTTTTTCGATCTTCAAAGACTTTTGTTCCGAAACTTGAACTGTTTGCCTGCATTTTCAAGCGGAGGTATCATCTTATTGGGACTTCGTAAATTTGGTTTGGTGGCCTCTTGGTTTCTTAATTTGTTAAGAAAGAAGTATGGTGAATGCCAACATTACAGCTACATCTAACAGTCTTTATTACACCCATATTATAGTCCGGTAGAAATACGTTGGCTCATTTAATCGATAAATGATGTGTATGGAGCCGGGACGATGTTGAACGGAAAGGGTAAAAACTCACCTAAGACTTGCTTGATTTTTGACTAGCATAGGGAAATGAGTACAAAACCAAATAAAGACAGTTGGTTTCCAACCCCTGTCAGACCCACCGGGTCCGAGAAGGCTGGGAGCACCGGCGACAAGCTCGAGCGGAGTAATATGGAGGTGAGGAAAGCAAAAGCTAGGTCTGCGACTCACCCACAAGCTTGTCAAACAAGCGAAAAAGTTACCCGGATACGTGACCAAAGCCGAAGAAAAAAGGGAGTTTCAGCAAAAGACACTCAAACGTCAATGGCTGATAGAACAAACCACCCTCCGGAATGATTCCCTGATTACCATGAACCTGACACAGCCCTGATCTCCCTACTGCCCTTGGAATAAGAACGATAAGGTTGTGGGGGAAAGCATGTGCGGCAAACTTAAGCTGGGCCAAATTTGGCCGACGGCCTAAAGTAGGCTCCCACGCGGTCGTGCTCCAGGAACTGGGGATGAGCACCCATTCTTGCGGCCGACATCACCCAGCTCAGATGTTGCTGAGAATGCATTCTAAGCACCCCACACGCTAAAAGCTGATGGGGAATTTAGGATAACACCAGATGTCGCACAGCTGGAAGGAGTGGACATGAAGAAACTCTCCGGCGACAGTTGGGAGGCAACTCGAAAACCCAGGCACCGAAGATATTCACTACGACTCACACTGGTAAAAGTTCCTTGGGAATACTATAGCCTTAAGGGGTGCATAAAATAGCTGATGGCCCCACATCAGTGCCGATCTAAGTGGTCTTAATGGCCTCTCAAACGGCAGCATCCACAATGGAGGCACTCCGAGCAAACAGAAGTGACCTGCCGTCTGGAGTCTGTGTGCAACCTAACAGGTCACAGAATCAGTGGCTGCGACAAAAACGGAAAAACGGAGCCGAAGGGCACCTCGAATGCAATAATGGGGATGCGCGTAACCCTAAACTGGTGAAAAGCATTGAGACGGGTCCCCAGTCCCCACACCTGAGGATGTAGCCAGCTAATTGGACATTGAGGAGAGCTCAGGAAGTGCATTCCAAGTGGATAGCATAAATTTCAGCTACACAGATGCAGGAAGTCTATCTGATAATCTCGATGAGCTGCGGGAACCAAGTAGGGACACTTGTGCTCATCTTGTAGGTGTTACTGAGGTACAGGTTTCTCCCGACATGTCAGATCGGGAGCAGGGATTTTCTAAAACCCCGTTGCTTCATAACTGCATGAAGGCTGGTTAGGGGGGCGAGGTGGCGCTCTATATTTGGTTCTCTGTCACAGCTCACCAAATCAATATTCAAGGGTTGGAATGTCTCGGCGAGTTCAGCTGGTGCTCCACAGAGCTATCCAGGACCATAAGGTACTTGGTGGGAGCAATTTACAGGAAGCACAATGTGGTGATCAGATGTTGGTAGCTACCAGTTGCTTTCTTAGAGTGGGGCGCGCACGTGCTGACCTTTAACCTACCGAAGATTAACTATGTAAATCAAGAGCTTAGTAGGAGTGATGATTCCACTGAAACCAGATTCATCGATCTTCCTGACAGGCTGGGGTTTCCGGAAAATGTGAGAACAGTAAAGTGGTGGAGGGAGACCGAAACCCTCTCCCCCTTGGAATGCATCTTCACAAATGAAGAATTCCTGGTCAACAACCTGGCTAACCTCCCTCCTTTGAGCAAGAGCGGTCTTGTTATCGGCTTCCAGTATGTCTGCGAAACCAGTCTAACCAGACCTTTCAGTAAGCGTCGTTGGAAATTCTGGTGACTTATCACCTTGGCTCCTCGAATCGTACTGGAACAGCCGGATTGGTAAGTCAGCCATATACAGCGGGATGTAAGCACCCATTGGAGATTCATACTTGACAAGTCCATGCATGTAATCAGCCAGTCTGTTCCACTTTCAAGACAAAAATGGTTCAGGTTACCTAAGGCGATAAGGAACTATGGTTGAGGAGACCGCCGAACAGAAAGGGAACGGTACGGAATGCCCATAGGGACTATTCAGACGGACAAGAAACACACGAGGGCGCTGAGAGTGGATGAGTAACTGCATCAAGCTAGGATTACAAACATTTTTGTTTCTAACCCGAGAAGTCCGTCCCGCTATGCCGCACAGTTCCAGCAGACTCAAGTGGAAGTCACTCAACTATTGGGGCGCAGCGCACTAACTAGTAGCAGCACTGAAGCAGGTGATCCTCTTGCTGACCAGTATTTACAAATTTTTTGTCATCGTTCACCTTCTCAGTAGCTTACGAATATCTAACCAGCGAAGCAGGACTGTCGTTACGTAACTTAGGCCCTTAGCCATCGTGGTGCAACCCGTCAGTTCTCACAAAAGGCACCTCCCAGGGACCAAACAAATTCATGCGGTAGTACTGTGGGAAATGGTGTCAAACTTTGGTGAACCTTTAAGTAGTTTATTCAGTGATTTTCTAAGCCAGGGGAAGGTGCCCGATCCTTGGGAGTTGGGCCAGATCACGACAATCTTCGAAGGTCAACGAAACAATCCGCAGTGATGCAGACCGGTGACGCCATCGTCCACAGATTTAAAGTAATGGGATCATTAATCTGTGATGGACTGGAGGATCACCTTCTAACGATCAACTTCGTTATGCCCTAAAAACGGGGATTTAGGAAAGACTACTTATGCACCACCAACCCGCTTACTGCAATGGATAGGTGGACTGGCATTGCAGACCATCAAGGTCGGATTGGTGATACTCATCTGGACGTTTTTAGGAAATATTACGGGAGATTTTCCACCACTAACTGTTATAACCGCATTTGTAAAGGTGATATGCACCTGAAAATTCAGGGATAAATTGTTATTATTTTTCCAGTGAACATAAACGACGTGTCACAGCAGGTTTCTTCCGAAACTCCTTTTTATCGATAGTATGAAACCATAGAGAGAAATCTAAAGGGAAGAAGACAGTGTTTCTTTACGGGAAAGCAACTTCAAAACTGCGACGCCAACAACGGGTTGGCATTAAATCCTGAAAAGCGAAAAGTGTTACATGCAAAACACGATGTATGCCATGGGTTCGGGCATTTTAGTCCCTCAAGACTTCAAATCCAATGTCAATCGTGACAGGAAAGCATTTCACGGAAACGTGACATTATTAACCTAGGCCGAACTTTCGGACAGTTCATTCGTAGGCTTTTTCACCAAATTTTCAACAGTCTCTTACAGCCTTAACTGAAGTTTGGGACTGTTGTTCCCCCTTCTCTGCAGAGAGACAAGTTGAGCTTGGAACATATCCAGAGGGGGTCGACCAAACCCTTTCGAAGACCTAGGTCTATGACATCTGAAGAACAAACGGTTGCGACGGTCCTACATTCCCTGAGATGTGCAGGATTGAGAGGAAACTTGATAATAGATGACAGAATCCATAAGGACCCTTGGACACTCACGCAGTCACTTTTCAAGTCTTAGTTGCAGCATTACTCTCAGAGTTGATGTGCAGAAACTGAACCTAGAGCATAAAAAGTCAGCAATCAGGTGAGACTCCTATTCCGTAGGAGTTTTTGAACCCCGGGGTTCTTTGCCAGCAGAATTCACCCTAACTACTTTATATGAACCCTTTAAACGCCGGCTTATGCTTGAGATGTGTTCTGAACTAAATTTTTATAATTAAACCTTCACTTTTGCACTTTCTTTACCTGTACAAAGGTCAGCCGCGAGAAGTAGTGATCCACATGTTCTAGAAACGGAAGCAGTTAAGCCAAAAGCTTCAATTCCATCAAAAACCCTCTGAATCAATGGTGGAGGGCATTTTAAAAAACTTTACAGATAGGTAAAATATGTATACAACATACAGAAGAACACTCGCATTCGCCCACAGAACGCTATATTCCATAGGAAACATGACAATATATGGGATGTTGACCACCCTCATCTTCTAGGTTGTACACAAACTATCCTAATACGGAATGAGCTTCTTGCCTCGTAGGAGTTATGTTCAGTTTATCATAAAGTTATGTCGTATGTTCACGTATTCAGAATCTTTCAGTATTCACCCACAATGTTTGGCATTTTCGGTTAAATAGAATCCACTTTTTTTCATTCCTCTCTGTGTTCGTTTTTTTTTTCAAGGATGATGCTCGCGAAGCTTTTTTTAGCGCTGAAGATATGCTTCCAGGCGATTACACCGTTAAAATCGTATATGCTTTAGACACAGCTATTGCGACCATTGATAGTTGGTGTTGGCAAAAGTCATCTAGTAATCTATTTCAAACAGTAGACTCTTCTGAAAGAATTCTTCGAATACGTTCTGATGACTTACACTATAATAACGAAACAACTCTTGACTTTACTCAGACCGGATTTCTAATCCCAGTAAAATTTGAGCTACCAATTTACGTTAAAACAATGCCTTCAGTACTCCTTAACGCTTCATATTTCGTTACGAAAAATAATGAATCAGTGGAAAACTCCATTTGTGGAATTTGACAAGAACATGTAACAAGGTGAGTATATTCATGTATACAATTGTTTCTTGCATTATTTTCACTGTATTGCCATTGATAACTCAATAAATGTTCGGTTTCTAGAGTCAACTGACTGAAAGCTATGTATCTAGGTTTCATGCTTGTTGTATATCACTAGCAAGATATACACATGACCATGAAGATTTTTCAGTGCGTCAATGTAAAAACTTGTCTCTGATAAACTACCTAACAGGAATCTTGCTTCTAGCAACTTTCCTATCTCATTCAAGGAGATTTCTTGATTGGCACACTTATCAGCCACTCATGGAAGTTAATGGTGTAAGCCTAAAAAGTTAAGGTCGGATAGGAATTTATGGGACTGCTGAACGTAAGTGGTTGCTTGTTTCATGGATGCAGACAAGAGTTGTTTGACTGAGTAAACCGTTTAATTGTTTTTTACACACAAAATAACATTTGTTCATTATCGGTTTTACATCATAAATGTCAAACGTGATAAAAATAAGTCGTTGATGAGGTAACCTTGGTATGATTATCAGCAATTGATTCTGCTCGAAACGTCATGTGAAACGTAAATTCCTCGGATAATTGATGTGAGATATGTGTGGAAATGCAGACTGGCGGGTTTCGAGTCCACCTGACAATCGGAATTGATGATTTGAGACTTCAAGATGATATCACTAAGAATCGATCTCAGTGGTATAAATGCTTCCACACATAGTGTTCGTCCTAATCGTCATATCACACTTCGTTACACCCATTTTTATGGTTTGGTTTCGTTATCCCTAGTTTGTATATCTCATGTTGGTGCTGTGTTTGTTGATGTGACGTATGATAGCTAGAACCGTTTCTCAGTGCTGCTTAGTCTCATGTTGATACTGACTACCTGGTCGACCCTTAAGGTCATTGTCTTACTGAAGTTTCTCGTTCACCAAGTTAATTTTTTCATCCTTATATATACTTCAAAACCTTGCGAACACCTCTATTGGCTTCCTAGATTTGTCTACCGTCGCCCGATCAATTGTATACAATCAGCTTGTCGAGCACATGCGCTCATTTCAGGATGTTACAGACCACTGAAATAAATCCATCTCGTGACTGTCATCTTTCTCTGAATTCTGGTCCGCATATCCGCGTAGGCGCAGAAAAACTACCGGTTTTCATTCATTTAAAGCTGGATAAAGTGGCAAAAAGATTCTCTAGTGACTTGGAGGAAATTTTTAATTCTCCATACTCTTTCCAAATTGAAGATCTTGATTTGAACACGAACAGAACACTGAAGTCTGAACTCGTTAATACCATGTAAGTGACTGTTGAATTTTTTTAACTTTCTTTGTAAGTACTTGAAATGATAACTTCAAAACATCGTTGGAGGTAAGTGTTTCCTAGTATGTCGTATCCTCGTACTCTGTAAAACTAACTGCTGTAATATGTTTGTCTGAATAAACACTACTTTTGATTTACTTTGAAGTATGTTCAATTGAAACTGTAGCTCTTATCATAACGCTGCTTATGAGAAAACAGTTGTTGTATTTCGTAGGATCAAAGCTCATAAGTTTGCTGGGTAAGACTATGCTTTGAAATTGTTTTTAAGTGATAGGTAGGTCATTTGAGAATTTCGAGAAGACACCTGTTTATCTCCAGCGTTTGCAAGTCAGTATCGGAATAAGCTACACTTGTGCTTTTTCGCTATTCAATTACTACTGATAACCACCTGTTCGTGATAGGTCTGAAAGGCGTATAGAGTTGAGATTTAGATCTGGTGTACACAGAATAACATTCTAGATGCAATAAAATATGGGTTGCATACATCACAATCAGCATCCCTGTATATCTGACGTTTGGTAACGCTGGCATGTGAAATACTTTCTTCAAACTGATAGTTGGATGTTTTAAGTTGCTCTTGATGACAACCAGTAAGCAGGATTTTCTTGTTTTTTAACTGGTTGCAGTGGTAAGACATGTGGTAAACGTTGTTAATTTCCGCGTAACTATCAGGAGCAGATCTGATATTACGTCTTCGTCGTTGTGGGTGTTGCAGCCATTATCTGCGGCACTTCATTTTGAACAGTTCGCTTCACACTTTTCTAATCTGGTTGTTCATAAATGATTTATTTGGTTTCCTCATATGTTTCACTATGATTTGCTTGGATTTACTGAAACTTGTTCAAGCTTTGTGCGCATTTCTTTGACTAGGGTGATTACTTCGTGGTTCAACTTGATAAATGTATCTGTGATACAAAACTGAGTAATTGCGGTAATTAATTGTGTTCAAGTGATAACTCTCTTTAGTATGTGACTGGCGTATTTCTCGATTTTGCATTATAACTGTCAAATCGTACTGTTATGATTGATTTAAAAAATATCTACACGTTTTTGCGTTACTTTTTTGTTTGTTTTGCGTCCTTTTACTCTAAACCAACCGGTTTCTGTTATTAACTTAGTCTCTAAACATAAGCAACATTTTCAGATGCCATTTTACTGATGTACACTCATGTAATTGAACTTATTCTACAGTGATGACTTTCAATTGCTTAAATTCTCTTCTACATATGCTATTATCGTAGCATCTTCCACACCGAGTTGTTATGAAAGCTAACTTGAATCAATTTGATGCCTACCTTGTTTTCATTGATGCTGTGTTACTAATTTCTTTCAATAGATGATAGTTACATTCCGTATTTCAAGAAAGACAAGTTTGTTCGAAGCGAGTCGTTCTCTGAGCTCGAGTTTTAATTGGGACGCCCTGAGCTATAAATAATCTCCGTAGTTCCTAAAGACAATTTTATTTTATTGTTGAATATGTTCGCACAGAATACGTTTTAAAACTTAACAGTACTGCATATATTTCCATGCTTACTTGTTAAATCAACTAATTTTTTTCTCATTGTTTTTATTAGTTGGCCAGCGAAACCTCGTAATGTTGACTCCTTATTTTCATCGGGGATATTTTGGGTTAAACTTGATAATCCAGTTCGTGTCAAGTCCAAACCCTTCACTCTTCAGCAGAATAATGTGGTTCACTTAATTACACATCCGTTTAGTCAAGATGTTCATTTGCAATCAAACTCTCAATATCATATGGATAATATTTCATGCGCCTTAGTAATGCCTGTGGTTGAAACACCTAATCATACTCCTACAACTGAAGTACTGCAATCATTATGCTTTTCGTTTTTCGATGGGCAGCTTATTGAATTTGATCTTACAATTGCTGTCAATCTCCGTGGTCGTATTGATCCACCCACTGAAAAGGTGAGGAAAACATTTTTTTAAACTGGTTTCTGAAACTAGTTTTATTTCTTCATACTTGTTTTACTGCATGATGTTGTAGAATTTCAATTTTAGATAACAGTTATATTATTAGGACAACAAAACCGAGACGCACGAAGGAATGTTTATTATGACATCTTGGATAGTACTGATGAAATGTTGTACACTTTCCATTAAAATAGTCATTTGCACAATGTGTTCAATTTCCTCTTCTGCTTCTATTCCGGCTTGTTCTTAATACGCCCACGTTGTCTCTTGCGTTTCTCTGGGCAGACTATTTGCCCATCACTGGCAACTGCCTATGATTTCTGCCGAACTTAACATATACTACTTATATCCATTCTTATCAGTAGTGCCCACCACATTATAGTCACATTAGACGAGACTATTTTTTCCCTATATTTGACCTGTGTTGTAAGTGAAACAAATTCGTAATGGCAATTTTGTATTGCAGTCATAATATTCCTTGAACAGATAAATTGAAATCTAGTACTTGCGACGCTTTGATCTACAGCTCATGGTTTCAGTAGGCTTTGTGAGGAGATATCTTCAAGATGATACCATTCCCATCGGTATAGATGAAAGTCTTTTATTTTTCTATTTGGTAGGTAAAAATCACATACACGTAAATTAACACATTATTAAACTAGTCACAAGTTTTCCATCCCATCAGAACCAGTGCGGCTTCTTTAAGCCGCTTCACTGCCACTGGTGACTTACACTGCTTTACTTAAAGGGCTGTTGCAGATTGTCATGCATCTAGAATATCATAGTTAACTCTTATATCGCCTATTTTATGTTTTCTCCTAATATCCGTGTTTACTAGTGATCTGGCAATCGGCATTGTGTGCACATACATTTATTTTAGATAATATCGGATCATCAATAATCCTAGTTATTAACTGGATTGGTGTGTTCCAGTTTTACACCTATCTTCAACATCTGAACATAGAAATGAGTGTCAATAATATTACTTGCAAACAATCAGCTGTTAATTTAAATATCTTCGTGACCTTTTTACAAACTTCATTTATCATTTGTATACTACTTTCAGAATAAAGCATTTTCATCGGTTTCTTCCCTGTATACGTAGGTTGATGTGGAGCTGTATTATAAAGTTCCTCAAACATCACAACAGTTTTCACCTTTGATGCAACATGATCATCCATCCTTACTCGTAGATGATGTATCAAAATTGGAGATGGAATCAAAAGGCTTCAACACATCTGTAACCGTTGCAACTACTCAAACTGATAAACATGGTGTATTCTCTTTCAGAGCTTTGCCATTGATAAATTATGAAAAACTGAACGTTAATTCTTTATCAGAGGTGTCTAAAATGTATCAGATTTCAATATCTAAAGCCGGTTACAAATTCGATATAATTAACAGTACAAATACTAAACAGATGGGAGGTTTCCATTGGTATATAAAGTCCACCAAACTCTCACTTGTAGAGGTGTTTGTTTTTAAACATCCTGTCTTGAAGGATTCGCGTCAACCATTACCAGGTAAATTAGTTTATATATATATATATATATATATATCATTTGGTGTGGTAGAAGAAACAGGGTATGGAGTTTATATTTTTAAAATTTCTCGATGATTGGTAAACGCATAATTTGAAATATATTTACACTTTTGTAGTGTTACTGACTAACATACAATCATAGGTCTCTATTTCATAATTCTCTTTTAAGAACCATTAGCACAGTTTTTTCAACTTCTTTCCTGTCTGTTAGATGTTACAAACATATTGATTAACTTTCATGAAGTACTGAAAAACGTTTCAGTGAAGTTGTTTTAAGAAGAGTAAAAGTGTTGATACAGAATTTGATAAAAAGTTGGCAATTCGTAGTTTGTCTTATAAACGATATTATCCCTTCTCATAATACACACTGATGGTTTAGTCAGCATCTTACTACCTCAGTCATCATCAGTAATGGAATTTATTCAGTAGTAGATTACGGTTACAGTTGAAATGCTTACGTTTTTGCATTCCAGGTTTCAACTCACCCTACAAGGTATCTTTGAAGTGAAACTATTTACCAGTGTTTGTTAAACTAGGGAGCCTAGATAGTTGTGTTATACTTGATTGATAGTTGAAACAAATTGAAATTTATTCCAGTATCTATTGTATTCATTTTTCGTTGTGGATGATTGCCAAGTGTGTATTAGAAAGTTGTATGTATGGTGTCACACTTTTTGGGAACTCATTACATGCAACTCAAAGGAAGCTGTTTTTCTCACTGGGATTAATGTTTTTTTTTTCAATTACAACTGTGAGAAACGTGACTTCTATATGTCTTCCTTTGCTGCTTTAAAAAATATTTTTGTATTTATATTACTCAAAACCCTTCTTACAATATATGGTTCATCGTTTCTTATTTTTTATGTTGTACATTGTTTTCTTAGCTGTATTAATCTCCATTATTGGCGAAGGACATCGTGCTAATCATCTGACAAATGATGATGGTGTTGTACGCTTTGTTGGTCTGTCTCCTGGTACGTGCACAAAACGTTTCGTATCATGCCTACGATAATCGTTTTTTCTTGCTATTCACTATCGTTGAAGTCATTCTGCTCTGACCTCCGTTCATGAATCAGCAAGCAGGCTGTCTAACTGAATACCTTTCATTTGATATTTCGTCATATGCTTGGTATATTTTAAGCGTCTGAAAGATGAGGTAACCTGAAATCTATTTAAAATTGGTAAATAAAAGATGAGCTTATGATGTTTGTCAAGCACTCAAATGAGCAGTACTATTGAAAATTATGCTTGCACGCTTCTCCGTTAAGCTTTATCAGTTATAAGTAACTCTTTCGCTAAACTAGTAATATGTTTGATACATTTTAACCTTCTGAACATACCTTTTATAGTCGATCAGATAATGTGGATGCATTCGAGTTTAACGCACTTGTTATCTATAATGCTGTGAGTATGATAGTGTGTAAGGAATGAATCCATCTATGCAAGAATCAACCCCCTCATTATATGTCCCTCTTATTATTTTTCCCTTGGGTTCCCAGTGGAACATAAGACTTCACTAACACGTCACCAATTCACTCTATTCTCTGAAGTCTTTTGAACCTAACTCCACGACTGCCAACAACCTTTCATTTCTTCCTCATACGATCCCCTCCATGTCAACCTCGCCTCCGACACCCAACTCGTCGTTTCCCATTTGGGTTCCACTCGATCTTACCTGGCGTGTGATATCCCCAAACCGTCTCTTCAGTGTATTTCTAATCCAATCCATTCTATCTCCACTCTCTTCTGCATATTTGTTGGGCGATAGGTCGTCGGTTAGTTGGTTCGTTACCAGCCAGTCAGCCAGAGTTCCCTGTTGTTTATTCTTATTATTCTGGTCATCTGATCTGATCTTCAGTATCGAGTGAGATTAGGCGGCAGCTGTTCATGTATGTCTGTAGTTTACTGAGAATGCTTTTCGTGACACGCCGAGTCTCTCAACCATCACATAGAAGCACTGACTTACTTGCCTGAATTAGTGTTGAAAATTCACATCTTGTTCACGCTTTATGCTGAGTGCAGTGCAGTGCAACAGATCACCACAACGATTTCAGATTAATGAGGGAAGGCCTGTCTTGATGTCTCTCCAAAGCTGGCTGCTTCGACATCATCATCTGTGCCTGTGCCGCCGTCTGTAGTTGGAATGAAGTTGCCTAGGTAGGTAGGCAGGTGAAAGAGACAACTTCCTGAAGATTTCTCCCTTGATGGTGATTGGTGCTTGTTGGTGTTGTCGTTGTTGTTGTTGTTACTGGTTGGGTATCTTCATCACCTCTGTCTTCTTTCTCTACATTCACCTGAAGGAAGTCCCGTCTCCATTGCCCTGTCTCACCTCTTCTGTCAACTCCTTGGTTTTCACCTGTACATCTTCTAGTTTGTGTGACAAGGACATCAAACATAAATCATCATCGTCGGCAGCGAAATCCAAATCTTCTTCTGGGGTCTCTTCATCAGTCCAGTCAGTGTATGCCCATCTCCTCGCTGCTCACAGTTGTCTGTTGCATGATCAGTCGAGTCGAGTCGAGTCTAGTTGACCACAATCAGGAAGATCATGGTTGATGATAGTAGGTGGCATCCTTCTCTTGTCTTGTCTTGTCTTACTCCTGTCTTCACTTCACTTCACTTCAAAGGCATCATCACTGAGCTTTCCATTGTGAGTCAGTTGGCATGTAGCCTCATCATATAGCATATGGCTAGCTGCTGTTGAGTCAGGTTGATAAATGTTTGTGGCGGTGAAACTGTAGTGTTGAAGTAGCTGCCTGTCATATTACTTGTCGGTCGACGCTATCGAAGGCCTTTTTGAAATCGATGAAGTTGAGGTAAATAAATATCCAGTTGACTGCCATTCCATGCTCTGTTCGATGACGATGTGTAGCGTTGCAATTCGACCCACACATGATTTGATTTTCCTGGAGCCAGCTACCCTTTTCCAGTCGTAGTTTTGAATCCAGAGCATATTTAGTCTCTCTACGATGATGTGGATTAATATCTTACTTGGTGTGGACAGGAGCATGATTCCGTACAAGTTCTTGCAAAGACTTAGGTCATCCTTCTTTGGTAGTTCGACCAGGTAGCCCTTCTTCCAACCAATCGGAAAGGACGTTTCCTTCCAAGCCTTCTGCAATAGTGGTGTGAACGTGTTCGCTGTTGTCTTTTGTCTTTAATCAGTAAGAAATATTATTTGGGACATTCTTTACCAGTAAGCTTTTATTCTTGTATATAAAACGTCTCGTTGTTATAAGTTTCAGTTTGTCATGTCATATTTGTCCTTTCATGTTCATCGATTCCTTTGTTTTCTCGTTTCTTAACAACAATAATAATCATAACTTCAAAGAAGTTTCGGTTGTAAGCTGACATCATCCTGGGAGTACTGAATAGATGTTTTATATTGGGACTTTTCAGCAGTGTACAACCATGACACTCTTTGGGATCAAACTCATGACTGTCCGATCTCATACTGAGCATGTTGCCACTCTACCATTGGGTTGGAATCTAATAATTCTTGTTTCCCAACTTATATCAACCTGTTTTACAGAGTGATCATCGCTCAGTGTCATTAGCGAGCATGGCATTGTTGAGCTTTGTACGTAGACAAACGCCGAGTAGTTGAGTAGAAATAATAGTTGTAGTGGTTTGCTTTCGGTAGTTCCATGGGTTTTCGCTGGGTACTGTGGAACGTTATATAAGCATATCAATTCTAATATTAAAAGATTAACTTGATAAAAATAATCGTTGATCTCCATTTTGAACCAATGTTGAATCATTGAATGGTCTTTAATGTACTATTGTTTGAACTTTTTTAGGGCAGTATTATTTGCGTCCAATGATGAAAGAGTACTCCTTTACAGTGATATCTCCTGATCCATCAGAATCTGGTCAAGCTATTCCGGTCCAAGTAGAAGAGGGTAAATCAGCTGTAGTAATATTGTCAGCGCGTCGAATTGCTTTCTCTGCTTCGGGAATTGTAAGTGTATATCCAATTGTGCTGATAATTTGTAAATACTTTTCAGGTGAATGTTTTTGTTTCAGTATGTCTTGACAATTCTTAGCTTTGTAGTAGAATATCAGAAGTGTAGGTTTTCTGATTTGGATCTTTGTGAATTTGGATAATAGCTAGAAAGTAATAATGATAAATCTCTGTTCCTTCCATCCAGTCTCGTAAGCTCTTCCAAATGTTTGATTGACAAGATAGTGTTTATTTTCAATTTTCAAAAAATAGTATATAATCTCTTATCAGTTAACCATCAGCAATTACTATCAACGGAATTGAACATTTTACATTGTTAAGTTGTGTTATACATACTGAGTTTTAACACAACCGATGTGTTACATATTTAAAAAATCTTTTGTAAACTTTTCCCAGGATATAGACTGTGGTTAATGTTATCTCTAATTAATGTTACAGTTTTAAATGATCAAAATAAATGTTGAGACTGAAGATTAGAACATTTTTCTAGAGATATTTATCAAGTAAGCTGAACATGGGTTTCTTGCCATAAAGTGACTCACTAAAATATTTATACTGGATGATGATTGAAGGTGAGATGAAAATCTGGACCGCGGCCAGATTTAAACCAGCGACCACCGGGCTACCGACCCAGTGCTCTACCAACTGAGCTACCGACCGGCCGCGGCCAGTTTTTCATCTCACCTTCAACCATCACCCAGTATAAATACTAGTCTGCCATCTCAGATAGTCAAATGATAATTAAAATACATTGATCTAGTGAATTCATAGCACTAACAGCTCTTTCTGCTGAATGTAAAGTCTATTTGTACTTAGAATTTGTTTCTGTCTTAAGAATAGCTGGGTGAGAATAGATTATAAATGTATTTGCTTCGTGTGTACGGGTTCCGAGTCATTTACACATGAAGTTTCTACTTACCCGACTAAACTGTCTGGTAACTTGCATCTTTCCTAGGTATTCCGAATGTCACGAAGCACCGAGTTTTCTTTATTCTATTCTTTTAGAATAAAATCTAGCGACTCGATTGATATCCAGTTTACTCTCAGTTGTCTATCGTGATTGGTCAAAGAGATAGGGGGAACCAAATTTATATTTTGCTGGTGATTCTGAACTGCTTGACAACAAACAGGAAATCATGCATGCAACCCGTGGTTAACTGCAAGTAAACTGTCATGTGTGTGTGTATTTGTGTGTGTATGTATGTATGTATCAATATGCTAAACAGAAAGTGGTGTAAGTGTATCTGTGCACCTATCTACTTATGTTAAAACTATTAAGACTTAAATACAGCGGATGCAACTTATATGACAAAACTTGTTTTGAATGAGACGAATAAACAAATCTGTCACTAATAAAATAAAAGTTAATAGGCTACTAATGCCTTTTAAACTACAGTTCTCTTTGTTCATCATAACATCGACACTACTATTATTACTATTATTATTATCATTATTATTATTAGAATGTATGCCAGTATTAAACAGCGCAACACCAGAAGACTCAAAAAGGGATAACCGTCTCCTTTATAAAGATTCACAGAAGGGGAAAAGTGCATTGTCGAGTCCAAGGGTAGATGACAAGAATGCTAAGCGGCTGGAATATTAAAAAGGAGGATGTTTTCAAATGTGAACTCGTCTTAGAAGTTACCACTCTTATAAGTGTCGATTGTAATTCTGTGATGAAGAGTCTCTACTGTTCTATTAAACGTCCATTCAGTGCAACCCTCCTTTGCAATAGCAATAATCACTTTTATAAAGTGTGATAGTTCTGTTCACAAAAAATGACCTACTTCCTGGAGGTTATTCTATTCATTTGGTGTATGTAGACGATATGATCCTGCTGGGTGAAAATACTGAAAAATAGCGGAACCTTCTGGAGCAGAAATCTATGTATGTTTAGCAAGTATCTCGCACCTCTCAAATGTAAGATGATGCTCCAGGACTACTCTACAACCAATCCCACTTTTATCATAGGCACTGAAGTGGTGGAATATGTCGACCACAACACTTACTTAGAGAGTTACTTGCTTCAACTCAATCGGCCGGGTTGCTGACGAAATTTCAGCTCCGATACACAAGACCCCTTCGGGATTTGACAATATGCGTAATCTATGGCGCCGATTGTTGAGATATCCGACTACCGATCCGTTCTGTCCTCTATTATGCGATTGTGAGGCATGACCTTTAAAAGTAGAAGATATGAAGTGGTTACAGGGTTTTGAACACAGATGTCTTCGAAGTACTGCTCGTGCATGTGGTGGGATCACCATGTTAGCAATGTTGAGGTCAGATGAAGAGCACTAGGTAGGCAACACAGACAAAGTCAGTTGGTGAGATTGTCAACCTTCATCGACTAAGGTGGTTTAAGCATGTACTGCACATACTCAGCCACTGCCGACCTCGATGTGCCATGTTAGCGAAAGCTCGATTAGGTAGGAAGAGGGTTCACGATGACCACACACACACACACACACACACGCACACACACCAATGTCTGTTGGTCTGAATCGTGTGGCGAGGATAAGGACTGCCTAGTTTGGGTGCTCGAGACGAAAAGAATCAGTGGTTGAGGACTGTTGGTGACATGGCTGGAAATCAGTCACAATGGTGCAGATGTGATTCACTCCTTGACGTCTTCTAAAGCTTGGCTATTGCAACTAACCTATATCTTCAGACTGTTTATTCTCTCACACTGCTTTGTCTACTTTGATATCAGTTGTTTTGCGTCTACCTGTTCTTTGTATACTAGTTGTGAACTGTGGCAACTTGAACCGATGCCCTTATGTCCAAGGTTTTACGTTGATTTTATCAGTCAGTCGGTAATAGTTCTGTGCTCTACAATTTATTCCTAGATATTTAACCGTTAAAAGGTTGTCTGTGTTGTATAGTATGAACACAGTATGGTTACTCTTACATTAAAGCTTAAACATTTGCTACTTGAACATTGTTCTCAGTTAATGTTTTCCGTCCATACTTTCCATTTAACAGGTCACTTCTTTAGCTGGTATTCCAGAATTTGGCGTCTTAGTTGAAGCCACATGGTTACCCGATCCACCCAAGATTATTCATAATGATATATTGCATTTAGCGTCGGCCAACAACCTGACTTGTCAACTTCAGTCTGATCAAATCAATGTTATACCCCATGAACAATCTTTGACTGATTCAGACGGTAATTTCCGTATAAGAGGTCTCATGCCAGGTTAGTGTCATCAGTTAGTTATATCCACACTTCCTGTTTTTTATAATTTGCTCTAAAGAAATTTATTTCTCATAACCTTTTTCTTAAAGGTCAAACACATGTAACTTGCATGTATGTATGAAACTGATGAGACCTTTGTGATTAACTCAGTATTTTTGCTTTGAGTGGTGTAACTACTGTTAAACTATTGGTAGTGTGAACTGAGCAACAAAACATTATCAGGAAAAGTATTGACCAAACCAAGCATCGTTAATACCAAAGCACTGTAGTGTTTACGTTTTTTTTCTAATAGAAACGTACTTCGTCTCTAACGAAAAGTAGAGATTGAACATTTCGATCCAATAAAACAACGGAGAATTACAAGTATATCAATAAATAGCAATAACTAATACCCGTTGTGCAAGAAGTGGCCACCTTGTCTCCGTGGCCTAGTGGATAACGCCTTGGCGTTTGAAGCGATGGATACAAGTTTCGAGTCTCATTGGGACAACATCGCTCACTGAGGTGCAGGTACATCCAGCTGACGGGTCCCAAATTGGGCGGAGTTTGCGTCCTGGATTCTCCTGCTAGCCACAACCAAACAAATCACCTAAGGTAGATACTGTACACATACGTGACAGTGAGGCTTTTACCTAATAGTGTTACTTGTTGTATTTACCGTTTATGATTATCATTTACTTGCATTCTCATGTTAATATCGAGATGTTACACAGTTATAAAGAATAGCATTTGTTTTTAACCAAATTTTCCGCGTGTGGTTCATACGAAAGAGTTTACCGTGGATAACCTAGAAGCTTTTATCGATATTCATTTTATTTTATTCATACAGGTTGTGCATATATGATCTCTGTCTATACTAGTCCCAATGCACCTACAGATCCGATGTATGATCATCTGACACTAGACTCACGTAATGCAGTTTCTCGTAGAGTTGTGGAGCATGCAATTCCTGGCCATGTCAATTTTAAGATGCCCTCGACTGATACAAACGGATTTCATTTTTATGTTATTCGTCATCTTTTCACATCTACGGTAAGTTTCATTTACGCGGCACCGCAATCAAACGTTTTTATCTAGTTTAATCATATGAACCATTGGACACATTATTTTCAAGTTATGATGTACTTAGAGGTACTGGGAACAGGTTAGGTTAGTGAGTTGGCTATTTTAGACAGAAATAAGTTTAGTTGTCGTTCGTCAAAAATTTCTGAGGAAATCACACACCATCATGCAATTGCCTTCTAGCACGATAATCTAGTTTATAGTCTCATAACCTTTTTGAATTCGATTTTCATTGACTGTTTTATCGGTCGGTGTCACCTTTCAATACAATATGTAATATTATTTATCTGGTTATGTACGGTTCATCTCATTAAAGTGAGAGTTACAATTACAATAACACAACTGAGATATCTGGGTGAACACTTGTGGTAACTCAGTCGAAACAGATTTCGACTTTAGGGATATATGGCATAATAGTGACTTGCATGTCACCGGTAGTGGATGGTGCACACTATATTCGTGGATATGTCAGTTTTGTCTGGTTTTGTAGTCTGACAGGGATTTTAAATGTTATAACTTATGGGCATTCTAATGTTCCAGTATTTCTTCCAACTAGTATTAGTCTCATCTTTTTTAGGAGGTTCGAATAATCTATTGAATTGATTTTGTCAATAGCAGTTCTCTTGTTTACTTTTCTTCCATCATAATAGACTTGTATGTATTTTCTTTTGATTTTTCGTGTATGTGTCAGGTTACCGTTAGTGTACAGACATCTGATAGTTATCTATCGACTTTACATCTAGTCGTATTCCCTGTGGGTCATCCGGAGAATACTGTTGTAAAACATGAATTTGGATCAGATTCTTTATTATTTACTTTGACCGGTTCAAAACTGGCCCCAATGATTGGGTACGTCTACGCATAATTAATACTTTATTGATTATTTATTTATTTATTTCATTCGTTTCGACAAAATAGCAAGAAGCGTTTATATAATTTTGAAAGAGAAAATTATGGATCTATAGGGTGCAGAAAGTTTGTATTTATTTGAATTTTAATGATATCCATTTTTATTCCTTTCCACTTTAAACGGTTTTCTGTATCAGGAGATTTAGTAACAATCAATTCTCGCAATTATTAAGGTAGGACAGACAAAATCAGCGTAAAACCTTGGACATAAGGGCATCGGTTCAAGTTGCCACAGTTCACAACTAGTATACAAAGAACAGGTAGACGCAAAACAACTGATATCAAAGTAGACAAAGCAGTGTGAGAGAATAAACAGTCTGAAGATATAGGTTAGTTGCAATAGCCAAGCTTTAGAAGACGTCAAGGAGTGAATCACATCTGCACCATTGTGACTGATTTCCAGCCATGTCACCAACAGTCCTCAACCACTGATTCTTTTCGTCTCGAGCACCCAAACTAGGCAGTCCTTATCCTCGCCACACGATTCAGACCAACAGACATTGGTGTGTGTGCGTGTGTGTGTGTGTGTGTGTGTGGTCATCGTGAACCCTCTTCCTACCTAATCGAGCTTTCGCTAACATGGCACATCGAGGTCGGCAGTGGCTGAGTATGTGCAGTACATGCTTAAACCACCTTAGTCGATGAAGGTTGACAATCTCACCAACTGACTTTGTCTGTGTTGCCTACCTAGTGCTCTTCATCTGACCTCAACATTGCTAACATGGTGATCCCACCACATGCACGAGCAGTACTTCGAAGACATCTGTGTTCAAAACCCTGTAACCACTTCATATCTTCTACTTTTAAAGGTCATGCCTCACAATCGCATAATAGAGGACAGAACGGATCGGTAGTCGGATATCTCAACAATCGGCGCCATAGATTACGCATATTGTCAAATCCCGAAGGGGTCTTGTGTATCGGAGCTGAAATTTCGTCAGCAACCCGGCCGATTGAGTTGAAGCAAGTAACTCTCTAAGTAAGTGTTGTGGTCGACATATTCCACCACTTCACTGCCTATGATAAAAGTGGGATTGGTTGTAGAGTAGTCCTGGAGCATCATCTTACACTTGACAGGTGTGAAACCCTTGACAAGTTGATTAATAATTTAATTAACTCAACAGCATGGTTATACTTTGTTTGTGTAATGTAGCTGATCAGGTTATATTACTTTTATGCTTTCTTATAGTCTGATTTGTACTCCAGAGCCTAAAAGGTTTAAAGCTTACTGAATTTATTATGTAATGCGCCAATATCCAAATTATGCTGTGATGACAACGCATATACTGCAAATTATTGGCATTATTTTTTAATGTCAGTTATCGAGTCTTTTTTTGGTTGTTTCATACAGCTGAAGTATTCTTCAGTCTCTGATGTATTCAGTTGATCTTACTTAATAAAGTACACTGCCAATTATTTATCTATTTGTAACTCTTGGGTTAACTTATCAATTTACAGACGAGAATACGTCATACGTTTGATTTCTGATTTAAAGTCCAGTTTTTATACTGACGTCGATGCGCAAAATATTGTGTTTAAACCGAAATCAGGTGTAAATGAACATTATACCTTTCATTTCAATCCCAAATTACGCAATTCCTTAAGTGACTAGGTACGTCTGTTTTTCTTACCTACACTTGTATGTTTTTTTTCATGATAAAGTTTAATTGACTTTAGGTCGGAATTCATCATAGACTGACGACATCATTCGGAGCAACATTGGAAACCTGGGAGCACTGGACACTTGTTTCATCCTAGTATGACACTCCTCAGCAGTACGCACCTATGACCTCTTCAGGGATCGAGCTCTTGACCTTCGGGTTTCATGGTCAGCATGTTGTCATTGGTCCACTGAGTTGGGATCCAGTAGTCCATATTTACAACTCCTGTCAGTTCACGATATAGCTTGATTTACATCTAATGTCGTCGTTGAGTAACTGTCCTCACGTTCGACTCGTTTGACTCCACTGATCACAACTTCTCTTTAGAACTTCAAATACCACCTATCGAAGCTAGTCACCCAATAATAAATCCCTACAATCCTCTAGATCGTGAACGCGTAAAACCAAGTGAATCTGTGGTTTATTGGACTAGGCAGTTAACTTCCAACTAGTAGATGATGGGTTTGAACTTAGCCCAAGGTATTAAGGTCTACGCAACCGAGTAGTATCAGTACCCCACACACAATCCATGTGACATTGTATACTGCACGAACGTGCTTCTAGTTACTGTGTGCATTTTGATTTCTGTGCGTTATAATTATGACTCCTGTGGGTAGGTATTACCGTTCTGATGTTTAGTTATATGAACACTAAGGTAGATAGTCTAAGTCTTATTCATGAGCAAATACTATCCTACGGTTTTGTTTTATGCATGTCAGAAATATGACTGAATAACTTACTTCCGATAAGTGAGTATATTTCAACCATATCAACCAAAATTTGCAGAAAATCGGTGTAGGAATCACCTATTTGCAAAGAATCGACCAATATAATATAGTCACTGGTTGTTGACCTTCACATAACAAGTAGTCAGTCAAGATAAGTAGGTGACAAATAATTGTACGTCATCAGTGTTTATTCATTCCAATAAATATACTATCGAAAAAATGTACGTGGTTACATACGTTTTACTCTCAGTGATATTCCATAGATATCTATGAAACATTTTACTGATGTTTGGTACCACTTTAACTCTTAATTTCTATTTTTAGATAACTCTCATTGAGGCTACTTTGACTCATCACTCCAATCATTTGTTGTAAAACATTTTGATATTGTTTTATTATTAGTATATGTTTATTTTTGTGATTTAGTATTATTTTCCTCTAGTGTACATTGTATGCTTGTCTTTCAAATAGTTATTTATAACTATCGCAATGTTTATTTGTAAAGTTTGTTAAAAATAAATGAGCATTATTTTGATTGCTGTGCGAAAACACTTCTCTCTTCCTTCACTAGGAGATTTCACACTAATGTTCGCCTTTTACCTCTAGGAAAGTTGAACTACCACCAGCTTTGTTTATCTTTGACGTGCAAGGTGTACGCTATGGCTTTGTGTCCTGTCTATAGATTGGTGAGATATATTATCAATATATACACGTAGAATAGGGATCAGTAGCTCATTTCGTCAAGCACCTTGATGTTAAAGTTTGTAGCTGAATTCTTCTCTTCCTTTGGAAGATATTACGTTGAAATTGTAATCAAATTCACCAAATTAGACATCCTGGCTGGAACGATTCTTCTTCTAGGGTTAGCAAATAGCCTGTATGAAACTTGAGCAATCCTCCCTACCATTTCACCTTGTGAGACCGGCTGCATAGGTTCTTTTCTCCATGGTTACTCAAAGAAGTCATAATTCAGAAATCTCAAAAAGACTGTAACTAACCCCAGGCACATATCTCTTGCGCTTTCAAGTCACAGGAAATTAACCCACCTTGTGAAAGGAAATTCTGTGGTGCGGAAAACCAAGAAGTACCAACCACAAACGCTTTCAGGAGCATACAGACCTAATCTAACCAATAATCTTCAAACGCTAACTGAAAAACCTCTGATCCTTTTCCATTTTGATTTGCTACCTCCTCATTTCATCCAAAGGCTGGCAGGCATATCTCAGTGCTTCATTCAGTATCTAATTGAATAGTGAACAACTGAGGATTAGTTGGAAGTCAGTCAAAGCGCTCCGCCCATACTTACACTACTATGCACCGCTAGTTGACTGCATATCCAGTCTTCTCTACTATGATCTCACTAACCACTATTGTTTTCCCTCCAGCTTCCTAGATAAATCCAAATGATTGTCTACTGTTACCTTTCACCGCTGTCATCTTCATCTACTTTTTCTTCACTACCCACTGCCACTTACACGGTAATTGCGCTGACTCTTTAACAGTTTACATTTGAGTCTTCTGCTCTTCATTGTTTTCGCAGCCTGTAGGGATGTGTTTACGTGCACTCATCAATTCAAGATAAGCTGCTGAGACCCAGTGTGTTAGTTGTAGTCTCTAACGTCGTTTCTACAGCAAGTTGGAGATGGCATCAGTCTTTCACGGATTGAGTCAGGTTGTCACCTCCACAAACGTGTCTCGCCAGTTCACTAATTCGTGAAGGCAGCCCAACCATCCTCATCATCGAGTTGTACTCACAAACGTCTTGCAGTTTTAGTTTTCCTACATTTATTTTGATGCAAGCACAGGTTTACGAGAATCAACAAGTGACCACCGTAGAGAAATGTGCTACAGAAAGAGTGATGATTTCTCACTGACCCTCCTAAACAATACTGTCCAGCCTCACCCAAGTTTTGGCTAGCAAAGCCTATCTGATCTGACGAAGAAGACGGATATTAGGAGATTCATCAATAATTTGGAGTGAGGTTCAAGAGACTAGACATGCTAGTCAGTAAACTGGAATCGTCATCAAGGATTGCAGAACTGGGTGTGATTAGCATGATGAAGGGATGCTAACAGACATGCGACTAAGTATTGAAAGGTAAGGATATGATAGACTGATGATGATGATGATGATGATTGAAAGGTACTGGAGTGCTGAAAGAAGTGTGATGGCGGTTGACATAGTGGATTCTTATCTGTTGTTGAAAAGAAAGTGAATCGGTTGGGATGATTTTCATGACGTGAACTCGTGATTGCAGAAGGTAGGAGACGATTGCTCGAGGTCGGTCACACAAAGCGTTCTCAAGAGTTTTGTATTGAGTGGAGTAGATAGTAGAAAAGCCATAACAGCGACACCGAAAGACAGAGGGCATAGTGTGCTATGTTTGAAGTCGACACTGTCGAACGCCTCCTTCCAATAAGGAAATGAAGCATCAGCAATGAATGCTGATTCGCAGGAAATACGTCAACACTGTCAGAACCTGTTCAGCAAGCAGAATGGCTACAGCCCTGCACCACCCAATATAAGACATTGGCTATCACACTATGACTGAGTGCGTTTTGTCTTACAGACCTAGAGGCACAGTAGGACCTCAAGAAACAATCAATCCAGTCAGCATAGGTTGTCGGAACATTTCGATAGACGAACTTGACCACAACGTCAACATAGAAGGCATCGATCGCGACCCGTTGTAACTACAAGCAATGGTTTTTGAGCCACTACGTATGGGGGACTGACTATCGTTTAGTAATAACTCATTAACCATGTGCATGTTCTACTAGACAGTGAAATAACCTGTGAGATGGTTAATTATACCGCTTGGTTGCCTGTATCTCAGCAGGTGGACGGGAGATTCAAACTCATGACCTACTATTGCTTAGAAGTCAATTGCTTCGACCAACTCATCATACTGAACAAGGAGGATAGAATGAGGTGGACCCAATAGTTAGGATTGAAATATGTTACAGTAGATATGTGTGAGGAATTCTTAAATCCGTCGAGTAATATATCTACTAATTGTACTAGGAAACCAATCATGAATGAATATGAGATGTAATTCAATTACCATTCTGGTTTGTGTAAGAAGCAATAAACCACACTCACTATATGATGGCTGATCACACCACTCAGCTGCTTAAGCATCGAAAGTGAAGAGGTTAGAACCTGTAGATTACCGGTCGACAGTCACACCTTTAGACTAGTCAGTCACCTGCATCAAAATAACAAAACAGTATCCGATCAAGTGCAGCATATGAGAAACCAGTCATTACATTAGCGCATGTAGACTAAGAAATGGAACTACATTATACACGTAAGAAAAGCTTACCTGGAACGTATATTCACCCGGAATTAAATTCCCCAACTGATAAAAGCCATCACTATCCGATATTACAGAGTTTTGAGCTTTACCAGTAATTTCGATCTAGTGATTAGTAAAATTATCGAGGAAAACATAAAGGTTTTGAAAGCATACACAGCAAATAGACGTTATTGTGATGGAAAACATGAATTTCAACCCAGTCCATATGGACAATATTTAAAATGATAAGGATAAATTCAGTTCAGAATGTGAATCTCAGTAACCTTTTAGCTCATGGCGAACACAAACAGTGATGACTTTCACTTATCCATTGGGTGGGCGTGGGGCTAACAAACCTAGTTCTCATCCAAAGGTACTGATTGCTAACGCCATATTAGCGGTGGAAGTCATGTGCGCATATGTCGAAATGTTTTGGCACATACTACTTGCAAAATACTATTTACCCGAGATATGGGCGAATGCTAGGAAATTCGAAGGGATAGTTACTCAATAATGACATTGAGAAATGTTATGCGGGAAGTTCTCTCGGTCAATATTCATATTGAAGGCAAAAAGTTACTAAATTTGACGAGTTTTAAAAATCAATGGAGTAGGATAATTCTGGATAAAGAGATCACCTACAAAGTCCACTGAATACACGACAATGAGAAAAAAATGAAATTGCCTTGTAGTGGAGATTGTTTTCGTTGGAGCTTATGCGAGCTGTGGTCTGGGAGACGATGATTTATATTTTTTAAAGTAATGTCCGATCCCACCGGTCTAAGCACTGAGATTTGGGAACTTTGTCCAAATGCCATAGTAACGTGTGTTGGTTCGGTGATTCTCTTGTTATTACTCAAATTCTGTGTAACCAAAATGATGGGTTTTGTTCCACAACACACTATTCATTGTCTCCGTCAATCAGTGAACTCTAGCGTAAGGCTGAGTGAGACAGCGATCTTCAGTATTGAAGGTTTTTGGGACCGTTTGCGAAACATTCATACGGTGTTTTAATGTGCATGAAAAAGACCCAGATGTGATTGTTCTTTTTATTTTTTATCTGGTCAGTATGGTTAGTGCGTAACTTTCATTCCACCATTCCCTGACGGTCCTATAGGCAACTTCGACGGGCTACTAGGTGTGATCATTGCTGTAAGTGTGTACAGGATTTATAGAGGCCATACCCATTCCCAGGTGTCTGTGTTTTGTCCAAATGAATGGATTTATAAGATTTGCCAAAGACCGGGACACTCGTCTTTTTGTAGTCTTTGAGTACAAACCTGCTGGATGACTTTCTGTATGACTCAGTGGATAGTTTCCAACGAAGTTTCAATACGTGCAGCAAAACCTAAGAAAATCATCCTTGAACTATCAACAATGATTATGAACTACAATTTTCTGTCTGACATTATTGGCTAGAACTAACTTCAAACATAAGTATCACACTCGCCGTTGGTAGGTCATACCGCTTTAAGCAGTTACGGGATATTCTCCACTCTTCATTTATTGTTCACTGGGAAATAACGAATGTAATATTGACCGAATCCGATCGCTCATTTTCGCAATATAACCATCAAGCTAGGAGGCTCACCATCGCTTTGCACTTTAATGCATATTAATTGATTGAGGGCAGGTGACTTCCTTGTGACTGCACATAAATTCTAACACCTTAATGATCGCAGGAAGCAGAGACCAGTCAAGCCTTTGCGTGACTGACAAGAAGATGAGAACGTTAGGTTTGCCTTTCAGGGAGGAAGTAGCCAAAACTTTTCTTGGACGTGTCAGCAAAATATCTTGATGAAACCTGACGTGGTACTTAGTCTTGCGTACAGGCAGTGGTTAAGATAGTTGGCAGCCTAAATTGAAAGGTTTGTGAGAGCCAGTGGACGCCCTCAACCTTATCTGAACTGATTGATGTGAGAAGACATCGGATTTGACAGCGATAATGACATGGATTGACTTGATAACGAATGTGAGAAGCAGTGGTGAAAATGAGACAGATGGGAAGGCATCAGCAGAATTTGGTGTCATCGGCAGTTGTTCCGGCTCACTGAGAATACTGTCAGGAAGGTGATGGTTGGTAGTAGAACCTTTACCGAAAAGAATGGGTGTGTAATAAACGTGTCAGGGCAGGTGGTTGGAACGTTGAATGAACCACTGTGAAGAACAGTCCAACTGGCCTGCAATCATGTTTCAGTTATCCAGCCGATATCTGAAAAAATATAAACTTTGATT